CCTTGTGGAGGCTCAGACAGGACTACGTTTATATGCGGGGTGGCAGCGTAAAGCACGCTGATGCTTGGGGAGCCCTGGAAGGTCTGCGCTGTTTGGGTGGGGCTAATTTGTTCATTCCCAACTTAGCATGTCTCACTCCAAACAGGCTCTCCTGTATGGGATACAATGTGTTTTGGTTTCCAGGTCTCTTACAAAGTCGATCGAGGGAGAAGCAATGGTCATGCTCCAGGAGAAAGTACGATCTTACAGTGGACAAAATTATACTTTTCAGGCTTTAAATCTGATTTTACTTTGTAGTGATCAAGAAGAGAGAGACCTCACGAGGGCCATCAAGCCATCAATTATCATTACTACCGTTGTGAAGAGCCAATGGTCGATCATCCACATTTCTCCGCTAATGGCGTAGTGCACCCAGACATCCATCAAAACCAAGCTGAAGCCTTCTGTGCACAAAACCTACCACCTGCAGCAACACGAGAGACGGTGCATCTCTGGGCAAGCTCCTGAGGGCGCGGCTCCTACATAAAGAATCCCACTTTAGCGCACAGCCGTCACAGGCCCTTTACAGACACGCTTCATTGCAGTGGCATTGCAGTGACTGTAGCAGGTTTAGTGTGCATTCAAATAGACGCCCCACGTATTACCACAGGAGTTCCAATATCATTCAGCCTTAAGGATGGGTGAATGGATCTTTAAAGTGGGGTGTTACCACGAAGGGAGATAATTGCCAACGACAGCAAGTATCAGCCCCTCAAAACTGCAGATGAAAGGTATCTATGAAACTGCGTTGCTCTTGTGTCAACATCTACACAACATGGCAGTGCAGCAGACCGGCTCGGCCAGCCACTCTTCTCCTCGCATCAACTGTCCCTCAGAGCAGTCAGCCTGGGAAACAGCCAGCAGAATCGAGAAAAGTGACTGGGGGAGTCAGCTGAGACTCCCCTCCCAGTGCAGCGCCCCCGAGGGTTACAATGGCAACCAGACTCACCACCCAGTACAGAACCCCCGAGGGTCACAACAGCAACCAGACTCCCTCCCAGTGCAGCGCCCCCGAGGGTTACAATGGCAACCAGACTCACCACCCAGTACAGAACCCCTGAGGGTTACAATGGCAACCAGACTCCCTCGCAGTACAGCGCCCCCAAGGGTTACAACAACAACCAGACTCACCACCCAGTACAGAACCTCCGAGGGTTACAATGGCAACCAGACTCCCTCCCAGTGCAGCGCCCCCAAGGGTTACAACAACAACCAGACTCACCACCCAGTACAGAACCTCCGAGGGTTACAATGGCAACCAGACTCCCTCCCAGTACAGCGCCCCCAAGGGTTACAATGGCAACCAGACTGCTTGACTTGAGCAGAAGAACCGGCTGATTATCTGCCATTTTCTTTCAATGGCCAGAAAAACCCTGCTAGTCTCCAATCTTCTCCCATGTAAAAGACTGGCATTTGTAATCCCAGTAGATCTTCATGCACAGTCAAGATGGACTTCCTCAACAGATGTGTGACGGCTGAGGTCGTGTGTCAGTGTGGCTGGGCCCTGATTCTCTGGTATTTGGGCGTACCCATTTCCCACGATGACACCTGAACTGAGGGTCCTGGGGTTTCCCAGCCCGCACTCGGCCACCTGCCCAGGCCCATCAAGGGGCTGCAGGCCTGGTGCTGCAATCTGTGAAATGAGACAAGGAAGGGGCCCTCACTTGGTAGACCCCAGACAGGTAACCCCGGTTCCGTGATCCTTGGTTGACCTGCCCTACCACTGGACACAGGAGCCGGGAAAAACCACCAGGACTAAGCAGGTGAACAGAGGAACCACCTGGGCATAGAGACCTCCGGCTCCACTGTCCACAGCGCTGCCCCAGAGTGGGGGCCCCGAGGTGGGGGCTCCCGGAGAGCGAGTCAGCATCACCTGGGGCCTCTAGGCCTGCAAACTGGCACCTGCTCAGCCATGTGCACGCAGAGCCGCCGAGGCTGGGCCCCCAGCAGTGCCCCCAGGGGCGCGCTCTGCCAACTTCCAGGCCACTCTGACTGCTGTGGCCTGAGAGGCCCTGCCTGGAGGCTAAAGCCCCTCCTTGGCAGAAAGCCCCATGTGTGCCCACACTCTGCCCCCTGCAGGCTCTAGCCTCTGGGGCTCATGTCTGCTGACCGGGCCTGCAGGGTCACAGCCGTTCCTGTTCCTCTGCCAAACCTTTGCAGACTCCTGCCCCAGGATGCCGCCCTGCCTCCTCCCTGACGCAGTGCTCCTCACCTCTTCCCTACAGTCCACACAGGCACTGACTGAACGCTGCGTGCAGACGCTACCAATCTCATTCCTCAGGGTCTGTGTTCTCGTTCAAGGGTTTGCACACACAGTGACCCTGGGAAATGCTTACTCCGCGTGGCTGTACCTTCTCTGGAAGCCCCTATCCCTGCCACCCACTGACACCATCTCCAACAAACCCTGAGTGTGGTCATCGGACAGCTACTGGTCTCTGACACAGATAATGTCACTTACAAAGCGGCTTACAATGCAAGCGAATGACTATCCCCTCTGCTATGCAGTAACCCTTCAAGGGGGCACCTGTGTGAATTCTGTCACTTGGAAAAGGCATCAGGGCACCGTTTCACTGAGTAAGGGTGGGGGCTGAACCTCAGGCTTTCCACGGACCCCCTACTATCACACCTGGAGGACGGGCTGTGAGCCACGGGCCTCTGACTCAACCACGTGCCATTGCTGCTGGGCAGTGGAGACCAAGGCCTGTGGCTTCTGGCTGTCTGTGGAACACGCCCTGACAAGGCCTAGAGCAGAGAGCTCTGTCTTATGGTAAAGTATCTCCAATACATCATGGCGAAATCCCATTCTTACAACCCACTCACACACACTCACA